AGGACCAAAATGAGCAATTTTCTTTCATTAATGATTTTGAAATAAAAATTGTGAAGTCCAAAATAGTTTTATTTGTTAAATTCAATGTTTTGTAGGGCTCTTTCTGACATTCATGATGAACAGCATCAGCAAGAAATGTGTATAAATAAAACTTTTTCAACCATACAACATGTCAAGAGCAGCAGTGCTGCTTTTTAAGAATGAAATTGTGGTGTGAGAACACCATTGTGGTATTTCTTGCTGAGGAGAATCCATTTGAAGCCTCTCAGGAGCAGAACCAGGTATGGAGAACCAGGTTAAAACTGCCCGTCTGTTACATTCTGTAACATATCATTCATCTTTCAAAAACTCCTCCTACTGCGAGGAAGGGAACATCACTAGAAGTGTTCCTCAAAGTTTCTCTCCCTCTTCAAAGATCAAATGTTCCTTCCTAAAGACAAAGATCAGTAATAAAGGACTGTTCAAATACCCTCTTTTGTTGTATTATTTTCACAGCTTGTAATACATCCCCACCTGAAAAAGGGAGGACACTTCAGGCCCAGGAGGCAAGGCAGACAACAACATTGGACCAACTGGATTGAGGGACAGTATGCTAGGATTCAGAATTATACTCCGGAATTCACTGTGCCTACGTTGCAAATCCTTTAGTCTCTTCTGGAGGCGCGCATATTCTTCATAGGAAAAAGTCTGCCTAGGGAAGAAGAGATTTCTTAGTGCTCAAAATCAGCAACACACCTCTCCACAAGCCCAACACAGCAACACACCTCTCCACAAGCACTCTGGCTTTTCCCTATCCTATGAAGCAAAATTACATACTAGAATGGGAGGGTGGAAAATCTGTGTATATTCTTCTGCCCAAATGTCCATCTAAAAGTCCCTCTACATATTTTACAGCTATCTGCAGATTAGAGATTAGAATTTACATGGAATAAATTAAGCTTTTAATAGCATTCACAGTAGTGAGCCACAGGAGCCACATTACATTAATTATTGAATCAAGCCCTCCACAGGTGTTCAATGAAGAGAAAAAGAAAAAAAATAGGAGTTTGTATTTCAAAGAGGATGCTAAGTAAGTCTGTTTCTCTTGCAGTTCTGAAGTCTTTTTCACTTCCGTCTTTTGCAGGGATTCCTGTAACTGCATCTATTGGACCATTTTCCTCTCTTTCTGAGGAGACAGTCCTGGAGTTGGCTTACAAACTCACAGATACCCATCATAATGGACTCCATGCTAAGAATTCTAGTGCTTAAAATGCCACTAGACTTTATTACAGTTACTAAACCAAGTGTCATGTATCTTCAGAAATACTTTATAACTCAGCCCTTGAGCATGTGTAATTTTTCAAGCAAAGGAAAGCAAAGGTTATTACCTCTTTAGCAACTGATTTTGTTTTTCTAGTTCTTCTATCTTGGTTTCTAAAAGTTCTAGCTTCTCTCTCATCCTCCTTTGCTTATTATCATTGAGAGTCTTTCTCTGTCAAACAGATATTTCAAACAGTTAAGTAATGCCTTGATACATTGATACAGGTCCTGCAAAAATTACATCTACACTGTACATCGTTTCAAGCTGTGACTGTTTTTAGGATTTTCTTCCCTTAAGAAAGGGTGCTGGGCTGTTTGAAAGTTCTGAATCCTGTGATGGGAAACAGAAGAGATGGGAAACAATCCATAGCTGTCAGTTACTCACTGGTCAGTGACCAGCTGTACTAACAAGCACTAACTGTATTTGAGAATTATAAAATTCATTCTCTAAATGACCACATACAAATAAGTATAAACATGACCAAAACAATGTATTCTCTTCCTTTTTTCCTCTTGCTGATCTCAATTGTTTGCAACCTTAAAAGCCACTGGCAGGTTCCATAACCTGTTTATGTCCAATGTAGAAAACTGTCAATTAATCTCAAGCTTTTATAAACAATTAATCAGTTTTTCCTTTCAAGTTATTTCATAAAAAGCAAGCTTAGGAGAAATACAATTTTCATAGTCCATCAAGAAAAAGTAGAAAATCATTTGTCTAGTATCAAAATACCATCCTTGCTATTCAAGGAGTCCACCTTTTAATCCTACACACACACGCACACAGAAAAGAGCGTCACAACATCTTGATGGCATTATAACAAAGTTGTTGGCTGTAATATTCTTTTGCATATTACTTCAACCAATTTCTATGCTAATCCTTAGGAGCCTGATGTATTTTGCTATTATATACAATAGACTGCAAATAAACTCTTAATATTAAAACAATGTTAGATGGCCAAAGTAAAGTTGAACTTTTCATAAGCTAGAACACTGATGAAAGAAGAGTCAACCTGCCTTTTCCTGAGCAACAGCAGCTTGGTATAGCTTGCTCTTCACTTGGTTGTATTTCTCTTCTTTCTCTGTCATACGCTGAGTAAGCAAGCGCTTCTCCTCCAGCCATTCCATTCGTTTGTATTCGAAAGTCCTTTGAAAAAATCAAGTTAAAAGATGAAGAGGTTATACAGACAGAGCAGTGCATTTGGTTAATGCCTTAAAGCTCTTAAAGCAGATGCATCTTTTCCTACCTTTATATACTTGAAGGATCTGATTTAAATTTGATGGTGGTAACAATCTAATTGTGACTATTGACATTCAAACCCATGCATTAACATCACCTTAGGTTTTGTCCAACCACGAGGCAAATTTTGAAAGCGATTCCAAGAAGCAAGTTAACTGTTGGCTGCTTGTTGGTTCGGCATACTGCCAAACTGACAGCAGAAAATTCCTGAATCTGGATAAAACAATCCCACTGGAACATAAGAGCAGACACCTACGCCAAACATCAGTTGTCAGAAGAGCTGACAACTACCTTCTCTCTTTGGGTGGTAAGATGTAAAAGAACGTGTTGCTGCCCTGCGCAGACTACTATGCCTTTGAAACAGAGAAGTACAGGCTTGACTGTATGTGCTCCCAACCAGAACAAACACTAACACAACAGGAAGCTCACGGCAACATGGCTCTTTAGACAACACTCCAGCCGAGAACACACCACTAGCAGCATACGTTATCTGGTTAGGCCTTTGCATAGTTAAAACATAATAAAAATAGGCTGTGGTCTCTAGCAGTGGATAGGAAATGAGCCAGCTTCTCTCTGCTGCTGTGTTTGGGTTATCTGCATTGTGGGTCAAAGTAAACTAACAGCATATTTAACGATATGATAAAAAAAGAAAAAAAAACAAGAAAAAAAAAAAGGTGAGACTCTGCAGCAGTTTTTAAGAAATGCAGTTCAAGGTTTAGTATCAGGGAGTCCTTACTACTCCAATCCTGGGCCAGTGCTGTTTCCCTACAGGGACTCTGAATATATCTCCATCAATTTCTCAGCAGACAGCCTTTCCCTTCCCCATAGCTAAAGTATTAATCATCATCCATTCTTAGGACTAGGATCCTGATCCACCTGGTACCTGTCACAGTTTCTTCAGTAGACCCAGTGTGGTTTGTACCTTGCTGTTGACTGTAAATAACTATCTACTACCCAGGAGCCAAAGAGCTTTGTCAAAAAGCACTGCTTACCAGTAAAAGAATTTCAGTGGAGATAGTGGTTAAATGCCACAAGTTGGGTTGTTTTGTTTTTCTAAATGCTATCACTGTTTCTGAAATGCTTCACAAGTGCCTGATTGAGCTAGTCTCTGATCTGTATCAATCTGTTTGCCTTCAGCCCTTTTTGTCATTTCACATTTTCATTTCCAAGCCTGAGACTGACAGGTCAGGCAGCTGCTTTACCTGCTTACAGCCCATTATTTTATTCATCTGAAACTTTATCTTAGGCTTTCTTATCTTTTGGTCTTTATTTCACTTCCTCTTTAAGCCGAGTTGCTTTGGTGCCACTTAACTCTTGGAGTTCAAGTTTATAAGAATTACTGAGCTGAGGAAGGAAGTCCTATCACCACAGAGTCAGAAAAAGAATGGAAATATGTCCCACGGCTCCCAGACAGACCTGGAGGACTTACAGGTAGCCTGCAAAGCGGCTTAATTTCTGCAGTATCAGCCTTGGTGCATCTCCTTTATCTACCTACTTATACAAGATTCTCTGAGGACTGCCAAGCTCCTTCCACTGCCTTCTTCAGAAAACCTACTCCTGACTTGTCTATAGCCCATAAATATCTAAATGATATTGTTAGTCTCACTCAAATAACAATGAAAATCTCACTCAAAACGGGAATACATCTTCCTAAAGTAAACATCCAAAGTACTTAACATCCTACTGACAACTGAACATAGCCTGCAGTCCCAATGCAGTAATTTCTTCAAATGTTAAACTGAAAAGCAATACTTAAGCTAAAGACAACAAAGCAATTATAGTACCAATTTGTAGCAAAAAGGTAAGTTAAAACAAAACATGTCCCATTATATCTTTTGGAAGTTTTCTATTTAACTGGGAGGCTGACTTTTTTAAAAACCCACCACACAATAGTCCAATACAAGCTAGACATGTGTTTGGCTGTATAAATACACACACATACAGACTGGGTTCCTGAAACCTACAAAAGCATAATACAATGCTTAAATGCTTTATTCACCCTTGATGCTTAAACATTCTTAGAAGAACTGTGTGTGAAACTCTAGATCCACTTAAACTAATGTAAGTTTGACATTCATTTCAGTAGAAATAAGATTTCATTTTATACAAATAGTATATTTCACTATTCAATAAATGGAAACACACTCCTATTTTGTTATTACTCCCACAGGGGCTTGCAGAAGTGGACGCCATGGCAGGGGGGGTGGAACTCCATGATCTTAAGGTCCTTTCCAATCATAACCATTCTATGATTCTATGATTTTTGAAGTTACCACAAGCCAAACTATTACACATCCTGCATATCAAAATGTATAGCCATTTATTACAATTGCCCGCTATTTCCTGTTCATTTTTAACTTCTGGCTTTATTAAAAATCTACAATCCACAGCCAGGTAATCTATGTGAAAGGAACACAAGCAGTATGAAAAGGAAAAGTAAAGCCAAAAGGAAGAAAACAGAGTATTACTCTGCTTCTAGTTGAGCTTTTTTGGCCTGATTCCTTGCATGTTGACATTCTTGTTTCAATATCTCTATTGTTTCCTGCAGCTTCTGATTAGACTCCAGCAAATTCTTTTCTGATTGAGAAAGTGAGGTATTCTGGAGTTGCATGTCATAAATTTGCTACAAAAAGAAAAAAAAATTCCATTTAAGAAGGTATGCAAATAACTAACAATTAATTTTGAGATACTGAGATAAAACAAAACACAGACACCAAATGACTGCATTAGCTTTTCATAAGCCTTTCTTATTTGTTCCTTATCGCCTTACTCAACAGCTTCTCCAAAAGCATTACAGTATATCACTACTAGATAAAGAAGGTTTTCTCTTGCAGTTAAAATGAGAAAGGGAGGCAGCAGTCTTCAGTCATTGATGTGTCCCCCAGAACTTCAGAAATCCAACATTAAGCCCCAGGACTGAACAGAACTAGATACCACACATTTAGTAGCAGTGCCTTGGAGCTATGCAGACTCTTATATCTCTATGTGTTACAGCCAGCCTTGGCTGTTCACAAAAACAAGTATAGAGCCTGAAAAGTCCAGCCTCTGCAGTCAGCACATAGAAAGGGTAATTTCCCTTTCCTTTGCCTCTCCCCACATGGATACTCATACCCTAATTTCTGATTTGCGGAGGAAAAAAATATTGCCTAGAACTTCAAGTGCACACAGCTTGCGGAACACTTTGATGCACAGCTATGGTCTTACCTACTAAATGACATCATGGGTGAGCAGGAGTTAAAAGAGGTTTTATTTTCAACACTGCCATCAATTCACTTTGCAATAGAAATATACCTCTTTACACTAGTTTATTCATTTATGAAACATCTGTTAAGCACTTGAAGAACCTCAGATGAGAGATGCAGTGTAAATGCAAAGCATAACCTAGAAACAATTTATAAGTCTCCATGGAAACTGAATCTCCAGTTAAATAATCCATAACTGTATTCAATATACCAGTCTATAAACATTCAGCTTTGAAATCCTTGGTAGCCACAAAACAAATCAAGCAAAAAGCTGTAATTCATTTATAAAGATCTAGGAAAGCATGACTGATTTCTGAACATTTTTGTTTTAAGTATCTGTTTTATGTGTTTTGTCCCTCAGAAAAAAAAAAAGGCCTTAAAAATTCAATCTAATCTTCACATGCGGGGCATGGTGACTGCAGAAAAGATTTTTTCTCTATCAAGCACTACAATGTAGTAATAGTAGTAGAAACCTTACTTGTTTCAGATGAGCACTTTCATGTTTCTTTTCTTCCAACTCCTCTATCTGAATAGCTTGCTGTTGAATTTTTAATCTAAAATTGTACAAGACATCCTTATTTCTATCTAATCAAAATATAGAAGTTAGAAGTTAGGACAAATCAGCGTGACAATAGAACATGTTCTATAATTTGAAAGGCTGCTAAATATGCAACTAAGCAATGATTTTAAATGTATTTTGACTATTAGAATTCATACAGGAGTAAGAAATACATTTATTTCTTTGCTTTTTTTGGAGCATCACTTTTGCTCATTTTATCATATTGACCTTCATAAAAATACTGTAGTATAATGACTTCATCAAGAACTCAATGAACTCAAAGAGGTATCATATTAGGATCCCAATTTGCCGATTGCTGATATGGTGCCATTGTACAAAGATAAATGGTTTACTCTTGGTTGCTGGCATAGCCCCAGCATTACATGGACCCAATTTTATCAAACATGAATATTGCAAAATTATGTCTTAAAAATGTTCAGTAAATGATAATCATTACAGATTTGGATGAAAATTGTTCGGGGTTCATTGGGTGTTTTTTTTTTAAACAGAGCATTTTTTAATGCTGCCCCCTTTTTACACAATGCAAAATATAATGTTGTTTAATTTAACATAATGAACATTTGCGTACCTATGAATAGCAAACTTTTATATTGACTCCTATATAGAAATAAGGGGGGAAACTTAAGAAATCCATATTAAAAGTTAGAAAAACCACTCTACCGCAGACACTGAAGTTTCTTTTTGCTAGATTCTTCAGCCATCTGTAACACACGTAGTTTCTCTTCATACTGATCCTTTTCGGATTGTCTCAAAGTGTCCCAGTTTCATCTTCTCTAGATCAGCTAATTTGTTCTCGAGTTCTAACCTGAGACATCATTCAACATGCACACAAGAATCATGACAAAATGCGTGTTTAGTTGCCAAGAACGACATTTTAAGAAGTTACTCAAAATACTCTTCTGTTAGAAGGTGAGCAGTAAATCAACAAACATACTTTTCAGCCTGTAAGACTGCAATTTTTTCAGAAAATTCCTTTTTGCAAGCTTTCACTTTACAAATTAGATCCCGATCCTTTTCTACTAAAAGCTCCTTATGTTCCAGCTGCCTTAAGAATTTCCATGTCTGACAGCAATTCTGTATTATATAATTCAAAAAAGGTTAAAATGTCATTATGAATATCAACCTGATGAAGTTCAATATTAAAATAGTTTTATAAATTGATAAAAGGGAGCTAAAAACCACAATTCACATGACAGAATGAAAGAACGGGAAAAATCCAATGAAACAGTTCCACTTAAACTTGAGAAGAAACTTCTTCTCAGTGAGGGTGACGGAACACTGGAACAGGCTGCCCAGGGAGGTTGTGGAGTCTCCTTCCCTGGAGACATTCAAAACCCGCCTGGACGCATTCCTGTGTAACATTATCTAGGTGTTCCTGCTCCGGCAGGGGGATTGGACTAGATGATCTTTCGAGGTCCCTTCCAATCTCTAACATACTGTGATACTGTGTGTGATACATGGCCTTTCTTAGTATAACAACAGCAACATTTTGAAAACTTTTGAAGAGTAATAAGTGCACTGGAATCTCTGCCTATGAGGGTTTATTATTTTAACACACTTGGAGTACTGTGCAAAGTTCTGGTGTCCTCACCATAAAAAGGACATGGAACTGTTGGAACGAGTCCAGAGAAGGGCCACAAGGATGATCAGGGGACTGGAGCACCTCCTGTATGAAGACAGGCTGAGAAAGTTGGGGCTGTTCAGCCTGGAGAAGAGAACGCTGCGTGGAGACCTCATAGCAGCCTTCCACTATCTGAAGGGGGCCTATAGGGATGCTGGGGAGGGACTCTTCATTAGGGACTGTAATGATAGGACAAGGGGTAATGAGTTCAAACTTTAACAGGGGAGGTTTAGGTTAGATATAAAGACGAAGTTCTTTACTGTGAAGGTAATGCTCCATCCCTGGCAGTGTTCAAGGCCAGGTTGCACAGAGCCTTGGGTGATATGGTTTAGTGTGAGGTGTCCCTGCCCATGTCAGGGGGGTTGGAACTAGATGATCTTAAGGTCCTTTCCAACCCTAACTATTCTATGATCCTATGATTATTATAGATTTAAACTCTAAAGCAATTACTGTTAAGCAGTTGTGTCTGGATAGATTAAAAAAGTGTTCCACAATAGCTATAAAAAGGTCAAGCAAGAAAGTTTTCCTTTTATGGAAAAGTTTATGGGAAACAGTAATTGGTTACCAGTGAAACTGTAGTAACCTGGCTACAACAAATCTCACATTTTAATCCACTCATATTACCAAATGAGGCAATTCTAAAATGATGAATCTATAGGCTGGGACATAAGATGCAAATTAAAAACTGGTGGTGACCAAGGCACCTGTGTTCACTGGCAAATAAGCCAACATGTGCAACAATGACTCCTGGTTATATAGCTAATTCAGTCATGCAAACTGGATTCCACAGCAAGCTCAGGACAACTTAAATCATGTCTGTATTTAGTTTCGTATTTCATAGGGTTTGAGATTCTTAATTCACAATATACTGTGTACGTATTGTCAATAGATGAAACACTACCTTTCAGTAGCTCCTAGAGAACTTAATATTAAAGCAAGAAAGCAGAAAGATTAAAGTACTGTTTTGGGGTTATGGCACATCTGTGAGGACAGAAAGATGAAGGTACTGTTTTGGGGTTATGGCACATCTGTGAGGACAGAAAGATGAAGGTACTGTTTTGGGGTTATGGCACATCTGTGAGGACAGACCACCAAAAGCTGTGTAGTAATTTAAATCAACACATAACTAGTACTAGATAGCTTTGGACTTTTCACTCTAGAAAGCTATTTCAAGTTGCCTACATACTCAGATGTACTGAGTAACTTTGAACATTGCCTACTTTCTTCAAAGAATGAGCTAGAAATTGTATTTTGTTTCACATGGCAGCTGTACCCAATTGTTATCAATTCCATGGACACAGAATCAGAAAACAAAACAACTGCTGAAACCCTATGATGTGTTAAAGTTTCAAGCGAAGTGTAGAAGACTAGAATTTGGCAATAATAGAAAAAATAACCAGATGAAGTACGTGATTTGAAGCAGATTATGTTCAAATTGCGTCACAGATTCACTAATTTATATAAATGTAAAACTGTTCTGTAACTGCTCTTCAGTAGACAAAGTGAAACAATGCAATTATTTCACATACAAAATAAGTTTTCAGATCTATGACCTAGACCAGAAGTAGAAGGCGAAGATTGTTGGGGAATGTTTGGAGGAAAATAATTGTAGTATTCTACCTAGAAGTTACAAAAGAAATAATTAGAAAATAATTGCATGTTTTATGATCCATTTTGCTTTGAATCTTGTTTCTCTCTTTTTCTGTTTCACTCTTTGTTCTTTCTGCTTCCAGTTTGATGTTTGTTACTTCCAATTTATGTGAATGTGTAAGTTCTTTTACCTATGAATTTTGGGGGGGGGGGGGGGGGGGGGAACCAAAATAAATGTATATACATATTCACAGCTTTACTGCAATTTTTTTCATGTGATACTTTGCTAACAAGAAAATCTCCCAGATAATCATGGACGAAGCTTATTTTAAACGTATCTTAAATTTTTTTTCATCTACTGTTTTCCTAAAGGCAATCCTGAATATCCACTCTTGTAGATAATTTTTAATGGCAATACAAATTCTAATGGTGATGATATAGATACTGTAACACTAAAGCTGTTAACATGATCTGATTCCCCAAATTATAGTAAGTACTATTACAGGTTTTTATTAACTCCTCAAGTCACACACTGAAGATTACTGAATCATCTTGATTACTGAGTCATCTTGAAATGCTATTTTCTATATTCTCTGATTAAAAAAGTGCTCAAACACAACATCCATTCCAGGAACCAAGCTGTCCAACTATTGATGTGTATTTCATCTTTAACCAGCCAGTTATTATAAGCTACAGTGTAGAAAAGTTACTGTTTCACAAAGTCTTGATGATATATGCACAGATGCACAGGATTGCCTCTGAAAACTGGGTTTCTGAGTAAATACTATGCACTCTGCAAGCCAGCCTCTGAATATTTGGTTATTTCTGAAAAGACTACTCATTGGGAATATCTTGATATGACACTGATCCAAACTGCGTAAGACCCTGATGCCTCGCTAACTCAAGCATTAGCATGTCAGTTTACACATACTTCGCTTCTGACTACAGATCCCTCAAACTTACACAAACTTAAATATAACCTCCCTGAGTAAAACAAAACAATGATATGCAAAACCGAATTATCGATTGCTCCCCCAGCTAATTTCAATTGGTAACTACTTATAGTGACTCTGGCCTCCTAGGGTGCCACACTACTTTCTCAAAATCCAGGTCTTTATAGTTTTTTTAAGTGTATTTCAAATCAAATACTTCTCTACAACTGCGACATACATAGAAAATGGCCCCAATAAAAGCAGGAGTTTTAAGAACATCAAATCAAAGAAAATTACTGCTTGCATGGAAACTTTCTATAGTTTAGGCATTTGTACGCAGTAATTACACGGTCAATAAGAATTAAGTATCTAGAGGAAAGCAATTACAATGAAAATCTATTCACAATGACAAACGTAATTACAACCTGCTTGCATATACAGTGGCAAAAGGTTAAGAATGACATACTAGCTTATTAAGTAACTACATGGTGGCTTTGGTTCCTTAAATACTAAGTTGTGAACATTTCAGGGCAACTTGCAAAGATTTAAGGTGTTTTTTTTAAGGCACAATGTCTGGAAGACAAATGTACTCATGAATAATTTTGAGTGGGCGCTGAAGGGGGTGGAGGTCAGTATAGAAATTAGTATCTACTTTCTTCCCTTCAAGAAACACCACTCAACATTTTACATTTCTCTACTTCTTTCTGGAAGTGAGCAGAAACCACCACTTGATACAAAAAGTAAAGACTTTAAATGATCCATATATTCTGATAGACAATTGACTAAAAAACGTTTAGCAGAAGTTTTCCTCTCCTATTTATTACTCCTGTGACACAAGTATGGCACATTGTATAAAGTGGCTTTAAATAGTGGTAGAGGTTTTTAGCCTATTCTTAAGGTAAATTAAAACTTTTTTGGATTAAGGACCAAAATGAAATCCCTCATAAATGTGAACTGGAAAGACTGTTTTGAATTAAATTTGAGATTGTTAAAGAACAACTATGGTAGAAGTTAAAAGTTTTCTTCCTGTATTGTATCTTTCTTGAGGTATCTTACGACAATACTAACTTCTGTACCCATACAAAGCCCATAGCTTTGTCATTTTGGAGTGTACATTCAAAAATGCAGGACAGCTTTATGTCAACAGAGAGCTTAAAATAAATCTCCATTCAGACACATATAGAAGGCCAAAGTGCCTGGCTTTACAGTTACTTCATAACTAACTAGAGCTTCTCCAGGAAGGTAAGAAAACAGGGGATTAAATTTGCTACCAGGAACTGACAGATGTGACAAAAAATTATCTCACAGTATTCTCTAGAGAAAGGAGGGCATAAAAGTAGAAAGCTACTATTTACCCAAGTAACTTCCATCAGTTCCATCAGTTGTCCAGATAATTTATTAATTTCAGATTAGCATGATGTCTCAAATTCCATCACAAATGCAATTAAAAAAAACATTAAGCAAGGCTACTGACTGTCATTTATCAGAAGGCAAGTCTATTCTTACTTACAATAGCACAAATGATATTGTGATGCATCACTGAACAAACCCACAGAGACAGCTTTAGGCTAAGTCATAAAAGTGTTTTGAGAATTGAGAGAACAGAAATAAACACTACATTATGAAATGGCATCATACTGACAAGCCATCAAGTGCCAACATTTTCACAGTGTTCAAGCAGCTTTGTCATCAGATATATTTTAAGCTATGGCAATTTTCTATGTACCTCAGCTTCATATTGTATTTTCTTCTCTTCTAAAATACGTGAATGTTCTTCCTGTTGATGTTCAAATTCTGACTTCAGAAAAGCATGTTCATAGCGAAGTTTGTTATACTCTGTTCTGTACTTTTTCAATTCCTAGGTTAGACAGAAAAAACACAAAAATATCTATCAGTGATGTTTTCAGCTTTATTTTC